ATAGAATAATGGAAGTATAGAATAATGGAAGAATAGAACGGAATAGATAGAAAACAGAATAGAAGGAGTGGTAAGGGGCCTTGGAGGTCTTCTAGTCCAGCCCCCTGCTTAGGCAGGAAACCCTAGAGAAGCTGAGCTCCCTCTCTCTCCTCCCTTCTCCCGGCCCAGGATCTGCTGAAGAAGTATTCCTACATTCGGAAAACGAGGCCGGATGGGAACTGCTTCTACCGAGCGTTCGGCTTTTCCCACCTGGAGGCTCTCCTGGAGGACGGCAAGGAGCTGCAGCGGTAGGCTTGGGAACCCCGGGACGGGGAAGATGGGAAGGGGGATTCCCCCCCCCCCCCCGCCCCGCGGGGGTTAAGGGGCCCCGCCCCAGTGTAGAATTCCACGCTTTGGGGGGGGGGGCGGGGGGCGTATCGTTTCAGCTTCAAAGAAGTGGCGGCGAAAAGCAAAGAGGTGCTGGTTTCCCAGGGCTTCACGGAATTCACCATTGAGGATTTCCATAACACGGTGAGGCCCCTTGGAAGGCCACTGCTGGCCAGCCTGGCCGGGGGTGATGGGAGTTGGGGTCTAACCCAGGGGAGGGGTCTCCAAGCTTGGCAACTTTTTAAGACTTTGTGCGCCTCGTCTCCGATGCGAATCAGAATTGGGCCGCTCGGCAACCGCTTCGTATTCACGACGGTCGCAGCGTCCCCGGCTTGACACGGTCCTCCTTTTGCGACCTTCTGAGGAGCAGAGTCCATGGGCAAGGAAGGTTCACTTAACCAACCGGGTTCCTAACTTAACCGTTTCACTTCACGGCTGTGGTAAGAGAAAGGTCGCATAAAATGGGGCAAAGCTCCCCGAACAGCTGTCCCACTTAGCAACCGAAATTTATGGCTGTAAGCCAAGGACTGTTCAGAGGGGATTTGAAAAGAACAGAGGGGAATGGACAGGTGAGAGGCAGGCACCCCCTTGGCAGGAAGGAGAAACCCTGGGAGTTTGCGGGGGGGGTGAGGTGTTCTTTCATTGGACACCCCCCCCCTCAAATTTCTCGGTTGAATCCCTGCAGTTCATGGACCTGATCGAGCAAGTGGAGAAACAGACCACGGTGTCGGAGCTGTTGGGCTCCTTCAACGACCAGAGCACCTCCGATTACCTTGTCGTCTACCTACGGCTGCTGACGTCCGGCTACTTGCAACGGGAGAACAAGTTTTTCGAGCACTTCATCGAGGGAGGACGGAACATAAAGGAGTTCTGCCAGCAGGTCAGTTGGGCATTAGCAGGGCATCCTCTCTGCGTTCAGAGCTCTTGGGCTCTCCCGGTTTCACCTACAGTTATTGTGGAGCTTCTAGTCCTCGTGATCGAGAGGAAGGGAGAGACGTGTTTGCACACGGACTTTGAGCAGCCTTGGAGGGAGCAGTGATTTTAATGCCTGTCAGACTGAAACCGCTGACGGTTGGTGGGCCTAGAACAGTTTTTCTCAACCGCGGCGGCTTTAAGATGGGGGGCACTTCAACTCCCAGAGTTCTCCCCCCCCATCTTGAAGCCGCCAAGGTTGAGAAAGTGGCCTTAGAGGTAAAGATACGACGGTGATGATAATCATCTGTGATTACTGGCAATAGATTGGCTGGGATTTCGAAGCCACCATTGCAATGACACCCCATTTAGCAGGCCTTCGTGACGGATGGGGGAGTATTGGATCCAACAACGGGGTACCCCTTCCTCCTTTGAGGGGGGACTGCACCAGCACAGAAAAGTTGGGGAGAATGGTCTGCGTGCAGGGAAAAGCTTGGGCCACGTAGCCAAAGACTCCCAAAACGATGGGGCCTCCACTGCCCTCAGCTCCCCAACGGGGAAGGCGTCGTGCAAATGACCGAGAACCCCCGGAGTGGGGATGATGGGGAGGGGGGCACCAGGTTGTTTAATCGTGGATGGGTCCAAGGTCAGGCCTTGGGGGGGATCTTCCTCCACTTTGCAGGATTACGTGCAGCTCGGACGGCAAATGAGGCCTCCGCAGATCCAGCAAGTTTCTCTTTTGTTTATAAAACTTAACAGGCCCTCTTACCTCAAAGGTAACTTGGGCCTGTGTTTCTAGTCCTCTTGAAGGCAAAAGAGCCCAGCCGATTGGGGGCGCAACTCCTTCTCAATGTCTGCCTGGGGACCCAAACCGCCTGTCAAGCCCAAAACTGACATCTGCGTAGCCCTTTTATTTAGCCTTAGTATATATTCTTTTTCTTTCTTTCTCTTTTGCTGGTTATGGGGGGGGGGGGGGTTTCGGGCTTGCCACACTCCTAAGGTGGGAAGAGGGGAGGCAGAGAGAATTGTTGAGGCTGGGCGGTTCTCCTTCCCGTGGGAACCAAAGCTGAGACCTGGAGGTGAAGATCGATGGCGCCAAGAAACGTTGGTTTACTTCTATCGGAGGATGTGACTTTTGGGGGGCTGTTTCTAATTTCCAATATTCCGTGGTGTGTAATTCTTGAGTCATGCCAGATCCGGAATTGCCGCAGACTTTGCCAATTTGAACGCTGTCTTCAAGAAAAAAGGGGATGGTTTTGGAAGGTGGGCGTTGCTCTTTTCTTTGTAAACGGATGCCATCCGTCTTGGGCTTCTGTTCCCGGCCCTCCCTCTCCGTCTCTTCCAGGAGGTGGAGCCCATGTGCAAGGAGAGCGACCACATCCACATCATCGCCCTGGCGCAGGCCCTCAACGTCTCCATCCTGGTGGAGTACATGGATCGGGGCGAGGGCGGGACCACCAACCCCCACGTCTTCCCCGAAGGCTCGGAGCCCAACGTGTATCTACTCTACAGACCGGGACACTACGACATCCTGTATAAATAGAGGGGGGGGGGG